ATAACATAACTTATGTGTGGTGTGACATAATTTGACATCAACTTGAAGATATATAAAAGTGGAAGGGTGGTATTCAACCTGTCAATGAGGTCACAGCCTAATGGTGCCTCCTTGTAGGTGTAGCCTTCTCATTAGGAGGGTCCTGGGAACCTCCCCTTCTCTCTCTGCCTTTACTTCCTGCTGGCTAACCCTGATTGCTGCCAGAGCCCTGTGATGCTTCCATCTCCATTGGATCCACAGGACTCTGCACCCGTCAACCTGTGATCTCCCTGCAGTCTGCATCTTTGCTTGTGACTGAGTGACTCTGAAGAGGGTCTTATGAACTAGTGCTGGACTGAGGGACATAAGTTGAACTGAACTGAGCTGTTTTCTTGATATATAATTATTTCTTGACATAATACTCTTTCTTATACATCTATGGGTGTCTCTGAGTTTCTCTAGTCAACTCGGCCTAACACACCATGTCTTGCAGACACTGTGGAGACAGATACCCCATTCCCATTGTGGGGGTCCCATAAAGCTGACTTTGAGTTTCCTCCTGGAGTTGCATTTCATTTGATCCACTGTGACATGGTCATGCTTGTTCCTTGGCTCTTCTTACTGATTGTAAATAGTTCTTGGCTTTCTCGAGTCCTGTTGAGGCCATAAATGGCCTTTGAGGGCCAGAGTTTGGTCTTTCTAGCCTGAGCTGGAGAGTCTGCAGGCCCTCTGTGGGGATTAGCGTGCTCTAATTCTGGCAGCTGCGCTCTCTTGGTGCTGTCTCTGGGAAAGGTCTTAAAGCCCATTTCTGGGAAAAATATCTTTCGCAAAGCATGGGCTTTGAAGTCAGATATATTTCTAAGCTCCCTGCAAAAGGATGAATAAGCAGTATAAAGCAATCCTCAGGATGTTAGTGTAGACATGAAGGAGATAAAGTCCATAAAATGCCACATAAATGCTATACATATATGTGCGTGTTTACTATGTACCATATGCTATATAGTGGTGTATATATGGATATGTGCACACACTAAAGGCCTTCAAAGAGGTTTTTCTACAAACTTTTGAAGTACCTTCATATAATCTAGACCGTTAGCTAGCACATGGTAAGCATTCAATAGATATTGACATTAGTATTAAACTTACTTGGAATGTGAACTGAAAATGGCCCTTTTTGTTAACTAACTCATAAAAGCAGTTGGATTGATCTGAATGTATGTTTGCAACTTTTGCATTTAAGCATCTTATTAAACTTATGAAAGATGGAGCCCTAGCTCAAAAAAGAAGCAGCAGCAGCAAATTCATTGTCACTGTGTTGATTCCAGCTCATAACAACCACACAGGATAGAGTAGAATGGCCTTTGTGGGCTTTTAAGACTTCAACTCTTTATAGGAATAGAAAGCCTCATTGTTCTCCCAAGGAGCAGCTGGTGGATTTGAATTGCTGACCAGGAGCTTAGCAGCTAATGGTAACCCCCTATACCACCAGGGCTCCTAAAGAGCCCACTCAACAAACAAATACATGGCTCAGAGAATGCTAGTTTATAGTTTAGTACACTAGTACAATCTTCCATTTTACGTGCTAGACAAATAAATAACTGTTGGCTAAAATAGAAGGAAAAGACCAGAGTAAGTCAAAGTCTCTTGGTATTGATGGTCTCCCATACAAAGAGATATGACTACCTTTCCATTATTGAGTGGGGTGTTAGAAACATTATTTCACAATCACAACAAGATTTTTTCTTCTTTTTTTCTACCCCGGTTGAAAGGGCAGCCTTAGTCTTAAAAAAGTGATGACGGTCCTGCAGTATTTCAGAGAAAAACCCCAGCAGAATTTTCATTCCTACAGTTGCAGTTCTTGGAAGTGGAGTTTATAACTCTTCTCTTACATTCCACCTTTTTGAATGGACTGGAGATACCTTATGGATAAGTTCAGGGATGTAGGGTCCCTGGTGGGCTGTGAATTAAGTACGGAGCTGCTACCCCAAGGCTGGCAGCTCAAACACGCTAGCACCTCTGGAGAACACAGATAAGGCTGATGACCATCTTGGGCGCCTGTAGGTTCCATTAGTACTGTGTTCTCCCAGGACCAGTAGGATTCATGGACTGGACGGCAGTGGGTTTGGTTTGGTTGGTTCTGAAGAGGAATAAGCAATTTTAATATGTTCACCTTCTAGAAAAAAGCTAATGAGAACGTCACCTGTACAGATCAATTGTTGTGTGGGGAAATTCAACTTAACAACTGTAGCCCTCGCTGTTTTGTTTTGTTTTGTTTTGTTTTTAAATGCAGGGGCGAGGTGTTGGGGGTGGGGCAGGGTGGTGATGGTGGGGGTGGGGGTGTTAAAACAAAATAAAACCCCAAACCAAACTCACTGCCATTGAGGCGATGCCAAGGCCAAGGGGAAAAAGAAGAAATAGGAAAATGAGGAAAGAAGGAGGTGAAGCCCCAGGGCAAGACAGCCTGGTAGAGGAAACCACAGGGAGAAGACAGACCAAGCTGACCCGAGTTTGCAGTTTCTGCAGCTTCCTTCCCTCTCACGGTCTGCACGGATCCCCAGCAAGAAGCTAGAAAAGTTTGCAAGCGCAGCATCCCGAATGGCAAGCGGACTTCCTTTACGGATCTGCGCCGAGCGGCGCGGGTTCACCCTGCCCTGCGCGCCCAGGGAGGGCCGCCGGCCGCGGGCCGGATGGACAGCCAGGGCCCCGGGAGGCTCTGCCATCCCCCAAGACCCCTCAAGTGCCCCTTCCCTAGGGCACGCTCCTCCCGGAAAAGGACAGGAAAGATCGGACCTCTCCACCCATCTGAAGCCGCTCCCTCTCCCTGGAACTGAAGGGACCTTCCTGTGATTCACCGGAGGAACAGGGGTGAGGGCAGTGGAGAACTCCCAGGGCCCAAACTTGCGGGCAGCCTGCCCGCAACTCCCACAGGGTGCGCAGAGGGACCCAGCTGGGTCCCCACCCGCTCCGAGAGGGAGCTCGGGAAACGGGGTGATCATCCTCCGGCCCCCAGTTGGCCGCCGAGGAGCGCTGGGAGCTTCGCAAACGCCTTGGGGAAACCAAGGCGCCTTTAGAAAGTGGAGCTAGCTCACGGGCAGCCGGTCAAGTCCAGGAAGCTGGTGATCTTCGCGGTGGGTCGCGTGGGATCCCCTCCCGGAGCTTCCCAGGTGAGGGACCCGCGGGGCGCGCTCAGATCCGGGGGCCTCGGCGCGGACCCCACAGCGCGCGGGCCCCCAAGCTTCCTGCCCCTAGGATTCCCCATCGATTCCCACCCGCTTCGCTTTCCAGCTTTCCAGAGTTTTCCAGCGGAGGGGTTAACTTTATGAAGAAGTTGCTGCTCTGGGTGGGGACGGTGGGGATGGAAGGGGGAGTGAGTAAAGACAAGAAAAAAGTGAAATTTGATGGAGACGAATGACTCCTCCTTATTTTCCCGACGTCCCATCGGTGGAACGGTCACTTTTAAAAGAGAAGGATTGAGGTTGTGGGACGCAGGGACCGCTCCGAAGAGAACAAGACCCCTTTTCAGGTGAAGAGCACCCACTGCCTGGTTTGCCTGGCCCTCTGGGCGCACGCGTGTTCCGGAAGCGCTGCGGGGTGCCAGGTTCTGCGCCTGGAGCCTCCGCTGGGACTTGAGTGAATGGCTCCCAAGGGCTGCGTGGGGCTGCGGTCTCCGCTGGCCTGGGCCTGGCCGGGAAAGATGCTAGCCATGGGAGCGCTGGCAGGCTTCTGGGTCCTCAGCCTGCTCACCTATGGTTACCTGTCCTGGGGCCAAGGCCTGGAAGAGGAGGAGGATGGAGCTGTGCGAGCCCAAGCTGGAGAAAGACTGGAACCCAGCACAATGGCCACCACCCAGCCCCATCTCATTTTCATCCTAGCGGATGATCAGGGATTTAGAGATGTAGGTTACCACGGATCTGAGATAAAGACACCCACTCTGGACAAGCTCGCTGCAGAAGGCGTCAAACTGGAGAACTACTATGTCCAGCCTATTTGCACACCGTCCCGGAGCCAGTTTATTACTGGAAAGTAAGTATTTTTGCTGCTTTTATTGATTCCTTGGAGAAATTGTAAGCATTTTACTGAGCTCCAACCCTTTATGCAAGGCAGTCACAGATAGTATGGGGAAAAGTGAATGAATGGATGAAGGAAGGAAGGAAGGAAGGAAGGAAGGAAGGAAGGAAAGATTGAATGAATGAGTAAATTAATTGTGGATGATTGAATGTAATGTGTCACGGTGAATATTAAAATTACCTTATTCATCTGGAAATTTAGTTACCTTTGGCCTTACTTTCAAAATCTGCTCTGAAGTGATCCCAGTTTCTAATGATCAGGGCATAGCAACATCCAACCACCAATGTTTCAGGACTATGTCCTTTCCCCAATCCATCCTGGCTTTTCAGCATGCTCAGATTTGTTTCAAGTGTTACTATAGAATTTACAGAGACCAACACTAGTAAGAACAACCAAATATTTCTGGGCCTCCATTTGTTCTGACATCTAGCATTTAATCTTGCAATGCGTAGATCCTCATAGAGACAAAGCCTAGGATGCAGATGGAAGGTTTTGTAAAATATGACAAACGTTAGTCAGACTCTGCGTGGATCTTTCATGGGGAATGTCTTCTTGTGGGATCATTAATACACACTAATAATACACCAACAAATGATATATTTACATATCAAGGCAATGCTCAAAATACAAGAAACTTGGTAATCAATGCTTAACAGAATTTGAATGTCAGCTGCTTCTCACAGGTCTGGAACTTTTCTAATTAGCTCTCACAAAATTATGATTATTGGGATGCTTTAATGTTCTGAATATTGTAATCATTTTGCTAAATGTTATACTTAAAATGCTCACACATATTCTTAATTTTACATAGTCCATTAAGAATATTGGCTACTGTAACTAGTTCAGATGCCCAAATTCAGCCAGTGTAGCTGAACAAAATTATGGGAGTTGGGGGGGGGTGTTGAGCTATCGCCCCACTGAATCAGAAGAGAAGTGGTTGGGTTTAAGCTCTGAGTCTGGTGATTTCAGTTGCAAGGAAACCTTGCTTCAGTGAAGTTGTTCTTGGACTTGGACCTCGTAAAAGTAGCCAGGATTCGTTGGAAAAATAAAGACTATTTTGTTGGAATCTCAGCCTTGCAGGGACTTTTGCTTACAACATGATTTCCATTTCTTAGCAAACTGCCTCAAGTTAATGTCATTGCCAAAAAGGGAAAAACAAAACACAACACAACAAAAATGCCATCCTTCCATCTGTTAAGAGAGAAAGAACAAAAGAAGCCTTACTGGAGTGCAGAATCAGTTTAAAGGTTAACTGTTCCTTACTGAGTTTAGAACATTTGATATTCATAAAGGAGCAGATTGTAGAATGGAAAATAAATCCATCTGGTAGCTTGGAGGTCAGATTCTTCATGTCTAATCCCAACTGCTCTTAGGAAATAAATAAACTGTTCATGAAATAAATGCGTAATGAGTACTCATTCAACCTTTTCAGAGATTTGTAGAACTAAATTTATGTGTACCATCAACATTGGTTGGAAAACACGTAACTGAAATGTATGACTTCTCTTCCACAATAATGAATGGCTGAAGTTTTTCACCAAACAAGAACATTTAGTTCTGAAACATATTTCACTGATAAACTATCTAGGTTTCATGTCTTAATAGTTTTGCCGACTTTTGAGTTTCATTATTACTTAATGAAACAAAATAGAAACTAAGCTGAAAATAATTGGACTCTCCTGTAATTTTAATGTCATCAAACATTAACAAGAGAACAACTTTCTCTATTAAAATGTGCTATTCAGGGCAACATGTTGTGCAACCGTTTTATAACTACAAAGTCCCAATGGCTATTGCAATTTGATTTAAAATTC